AGCCATTAAATGAAGGTCTCTGGTGCAGCATTGCCCTAGTTTAATTATCCTTACAATTTCCCAAGTGTAGGAAACCAAAGTTACTGGTCCAGAAGGACCGCTCTCACTTCTCTTGTGGTTTCCCAAATTTCCTCTCACCCTATTTGTCTCACCCTTTCTCTTCACTTTGAATTCCCTTCATCTGTTCATCTCCCAGTTCTCGCACCTCTTCCCTGCAGGTATAGTTTCTTCAATTTTTCATTCTTTATTAAATTGATTTTCTCCTTGTGCTTTTATTGCTGTAGTTTCTGCAAGCTTAAAGATTTAACAAAGGTATGAACCGTCAATTATGGTGCAATTTATGGATTGTACTTCACATTGAATTTCATTTGTGTACTGCCATTTTCTCTCTTTTATAGTGTTTCTTATGTATTACATTATCACTTCATTTGAGGGTTTATTGGTAATTGCTGTTACTCTGGTCTGAATTCTTAAATTCATAGTTCACAATTCATGATTTCAGTTCTAATTACTGCTATTAGTTTAAGCTCAGTTCTAATTTATGTAATCTTTGACAAATTTGCTAATTAGGTCTCTCTCCCTTAACATATGAGGTTTTGTAGTTCTTTCCTGTGTTTATTTCTTCCTATCTTTGAGTTTTTTGGAACTACATGTTGCTACTTAATGGCTTAGTTTATTGTTATTTCAACAATTTTGATGTTATGTACTTCGTACTACACCTTCAATTGCTCTGAGTTATATGGAATGATGTTTCCAACTTTCAAAATACTTTTGATTTAAGGTATAATATGGAATTCATCTTGCAAGTTACAATGATTTATGCTCCATCCAATCTATTTGAATTTCGGGAAGGTGCAATCGAAATTGATTGATAAGAGATGGGATGGCCCAAATGAAGGATGGAGTTTCCTGGTACCTGCACCTTAAATAGCTCCTCAATTCTACAAGGGATACTCAATACTCCTGTTGAGCTAACTCAAACTAATATCAACAAAGGTTAGATTTCTATAATCAGGCATATTGCCATGACACGACAATTTGCTTGACCCCGTTTATCTTTTAACGCGTTTTTCCATTTTCAGCAAAGATAGAATTAAATGCCACGGGATTTCAGGTTTGCCGTGACACGGGAGTTTTCTCTGCTACAGTGCCTCATTTCTAGAGTTTCGTGGCTCCTTTCTTCATTTCCTCTATAAATACCAGGCTGATTCTTCAGTTTCGGGGCACCAACAATAAGCAACAATAATTCTCTCTCTCTCTCTCTCTTGATCTCTAGCTTAATTTCTAGCCTTCTCCCACTTTCAAAATTCATCCCTTAAGTACTCCTAGAAGTTTGTACTTTACCCGATGTTCTACAATTAAACCAAGGCGTGAAATGGAGAACTGTTTGAGGGTTTGGCCCCAAATCAACTCTATTTTCTTTTGAATTAATCTTTATTAATCTCTTTGAAGTTACTAATGTTTTTATTTTGTTGTAGTTGCAAGCAAACGCAATCAAAGTAAGGAACCATGTTCCTTTTGTTCCTATTATTGTTCTAACGGTTTTTATTATGATTGTCATGTATATTGTTGGAATGATATTAATTGTTATGATCACCCTATTGCATGCTAAAGGGAATATGTAATTGAAAATCATGATAAATAAGATAATTTGGATGATCGGTTTAGATTCCTTTTAATCTTGTTGTTTAATCGAAGTGATCACTAATAACTAGAGCTATATGTTGCATTAACGTTGAACCAATTTAGTTTAATATAGTTTGGAGCAAATTTAACTCTTTGGTTGTGTGCCTTTGAGATCGCAGGAATCACTTTTCACTATAAGAATCGAGTAGAGGCTAATATGGGCGAATGTGATTCCATGACTCACTTCGTACCTTCATCCCCGATCCTCCTTTCGTGGTTTTGAAGCATATGGAGTTAGTAATCTCATGGATTATGAATGGGGTGTAACCTTAACGGATCAATCGTTGTCCCTTATCGTGGTTGTCTTATAATGGTCCATGAACGGTTCACAAGTTTCTTACAAAACTTGTTGGCGGTCCCTACTTTCCTTGTCCCTATCGTATATGTCAACTTCCACTTCCTATGAGTGCCAAGCATATTCACAACATGCTTTACAATGTAGACGCACTTCGAACGACGCCTACAGCGGGCTGGTGCTAGCAGTTGCTAGCGAGGCTTAGCGCTGGCCTTGTTAGAGCTGCTACCTTGCCAGCGTGTCTGGCTAGCAATGTTGGCCCCTAGCTGGGCGCACAGCACACTAGCGATTGCTAGGCGCCTAGCACGACAGGAATGGTTGGCAGCCCAACACGCTAGCGAAGGCTTGGTGCCTAGCCGCCTAGCACGCTAGCGATGTTTCAGAGTTGCAAATGTACTTAAGTTACAACTTCATGAAAGGCATGGACGAAGAAGAAAAGTACGGCTTCGACATACTTGATTGGTGGAAAACACAAAGCACGAAACATGCAATTTAGGAGGCAACGACATGTGATATTTTCGCTATCCAAGTCTCCTTCGTTGCCTCTGAAAGAGCTTTTAGTGCGTTGGGAAGGGTTTTAGACGATAAAAGAACAAGTCTAAAACCCAAAAAACTTAAAATGTGTGGTGTTTCTGTAGGCGTCATTCAAAGCGTGCTTACTTAAACATGTTGCGAATATGCTTGACACTCATAGGAAGTGGGAATTGACATATACGATTAGGGACAAGAAAAGTAGGGAGCCGCCAACAAGTTTTTAAGGAACTTGTAAACCGTTACGTATCATTATAAGGCAACCACAAATAAGGGACAACGATTGACCCGTGAAGGTTACACCCCATTCATAGTCCATGAGATTACTAACTCCATATGGTTCGAAACCACAAAAGGAGGATCGGGGATGATGGTACAAAGTGAGTCAAGGAGTCACATTCGCCCGTATTAGCCTCTACTCGATTCTTATTGCGAAAAGTATTTGCTGCGATCTAAAGAGTCGATAAATACACACAAACATAAGCAAAGTCATATAGTCCAAAAGATAGATGAGGTACACCAAGTCCCAACAGACGAGGAACTTTTACAAAAATATTTAAGACGATTTGACCCGAGCAAGAAATGAGCAAAGATGCACACCGAAACAGCTGCGAAGCAGCGAAATAGAATGAGTGTAAAAACTCAGGACCCGAATCCAACGCAGTGCGCCTGATCCAACACAGTTCGATAGAAGTAACGTTGCACGACAATATGGTCGCCACACGATAGATGTTGACGTGGCACGACAGTCTTGAGAACCTACAAAACGGTCTGTCGGAGGATAATCATCTACTTGAGCCTCGTGATGAGCAATTAAATTATTTCAAGAGCCTTGTGATGAGCAAATCATTCTCCCTCAAGCCGCGTAATAAGCAATTTATTAAAATATTTATTTGATTGATGATCGATCTGATTACGATCATCTTTGATTGATGATCGGTCCGATGACGATCACATTTGATTAATGGTCGGCCCGATCACGATCACCTTTGATTGATGATCAGCCTGATGACGATCATATTTTTAGATCACACTTTGACTATGATTAATGGTCAGCCCGATGACGATCGCATTTGATTGAAGATCGGCCCGATGACGATCCTAATTGATTAATGATCGGCCCGATGCCGATCATCTTTGATTGATGGTCAGCCCGATGACGATAACATTTTGATTAGATTACACTTTGATTTGATCACATTGATTAGTGATTGGCCCGATTACGATTATATTGAACGGTGATCAGCCTGATTCCGATCAAAATTTTCGAAGATGGTTTGATAGGACTCTCGAAGCGAGATATGACCATTGGAAGAAAATTCAACTTGAGCTCGGTAAAATCTTGAGGAGTAAGGTTTACGATAGGTTTTCCAAAGCGTGAGAGAAACTATCACTTCTGAAGCGTGAAGACGAGAAGATTTGAAGACAACTCGAAACGAAGTGGTCTTCGACGGCGCTCCCTGAGAATGTGGAGGTTGTCACCCAATTTGAGAAGATGGCTCGAAGCGAAGCGGTCTTCGACGGCGCTCCCTAAGAGTGTGGAGGTTGTCACCCAAGATTTGAAGATAACTCAAAGCAAAGCGGTCTTCGACGGTGTTCCCTTAGAATGTGGAGGTTGTCACCTAATTTTAGAAGATGACTCAAAGTGAAGCGGTCTTCGACGATGCTCCCTAAGAATGTGGAGGTTGTCATCCCTTATTTGAGAAGATGGGTTGATGCGCAGCGGTCTTCGACAGTGCTTCCTGAGAATGTGGAGGTTGTCAAACAAAAAAAAATTGATTCGAGAAGATGTTACCCAGAGACGTGTGCTCGGCAAACCCAGATACGCGTCTCTCTCCTAACTCCTTTATTTGTAGAAATGACAATTTTTGCAGGTATCGACGTTAAAAAAGGATAATTAAGGATCGTAGAACGTTCTGAATCATTATCCGTCCCTTTTGACTTACTTTGACTATCATTTTTGGAACTTACGTTTCTCCAAACTTAGTCAAAGTGGGGCTTTTGTAGACACCTAAAAATATCTCCCCAAAGACTAAATCCAGTGATGAGTACCTTTCACGTTTTGATTAACGAGTTCGGTAAAGAGTTGAAGAATATCGCAAGTTTCCTTAAGCCTTGACCCTATTCTAACCTTATCCAAAATGTTTTAATCTAAAATCATTTAATTCGTGTCAAAAACTAGATTATTTTGGTCCATTATCCTAGTCCAATTATTGTCTAGTTGGATAGGGATTGAAAAGAGCTTTCCAACGATATATTATAAGCCCAAATCCGACTTAAAACGAATAAGATATGGCCAAAATACTAAACCGAGCCTAAGCCCACCCTTAGTCCGTACCAAGTGTTTATGTAGAGCCCAAATACTTTATTTAGGTCCTATATAATTATATTTTCAATCCTAAATCAATTAGGGCTTTTTTAGAAATTTCTAGAAGGTTCTAATTTCTCCTTTTTGAAAAGATAAAGATCAAAGTGTTTGAAATCAACTAAAACTTCTATTTTTGATAATCCTAATCCTATTCAAAATCAAAGACGTACAGATAGAATTTACATGGATAATCCCATTAGGAATCAGACTCTGTATGACTTTATCATCTTTAGAAACCATCGCAGGATGACAGAACCAACGCGACACGTAAGCTCTGTCGCGCTGCGATACCACTGTCGCCCCGCGTCAAAAGGCGTTTTATCCGATTCAAATTATGATTTTTTTTTATCGTGCAAAATCTCTATTTTTCCCTATAAATAGAGGTCGTTTTCCTTCGTTTCAAATCAGTCACAATCAACCATCAAAATCCTTAGCTCATCTTTTCCTATTACACGAACTAATTGATCTCAACCAGCTTTTTTCCAGATTGTTTTTTGTTTTGCTTGCTATTCAGCACATCTCAATTTAGTGCAAGTGTGTACAAAACATTAGTATCCCTTTATCCTAACGTATTCGAGGATTTCATATACAAGTAATTATCATGCTTCTCTAACAAATCGGCTTTTCATGTATAGACTGGCAACCAAATTGATCTTAATTTTCCTGTTTTCCAAAATATTCTTTGTTTTGCTGGGCACAAGGTATGCAGCTCAACTCGCTACAAGTGTCTACAAAACACCTTTATTGTGATTCCATCCTATGTTTTAGTATTATCATTTGTGAATCTTATACTTCGTATATATCGTTCACTATGATTTGGGTAAGGTTAGTAGTGATCCTTGCTCAAGTAATGGTTATATCCAATACCCATAAAATGCTTATACCCAAGTGTTAAGTTAATAATGAAGATACCTGAGGTGGAAGGAGTACTTCCTTTTTCCTCATCTTCTTAGAAAACCTGCATTCCCTCTTGAAGTGCTCTGGTATAGTGCCTTGAAACTGGTTGGCTTATACTACTTGATTGAAGTTGCTCTAACCCCTTGAATTTACCACATTGGTATGATGCACACACCATCTTCTGTTTTTTCCTTGATCATACAGTTCGCAGATCTTGAGTTTAGCAATTTAGATTAATCCAGGTTGGGGAGAAATAATGCCCTTATGCCCTTTTAAGCTGGAAACGTAGAAGATCGGTTCTAAGCCGATGAAGGGGCTAAACCTCAAAACCTGATGTTTGGACTGCCATAATGGATTGTACACCTATTTTCAAGTCATAATGTTACCATGTAAAGTAGCTAGCCTGAAATCTGAGTTAAATTACCACTTTGAAATTTATGTATGATTCAAATCTCCATTGTTTTTTTTTTTTTTTTTTTTTTCTGCCATGCTATGGGCACCTAAGGTCTGGCAGGAGGAAGACTTTTGAGGGCTCCTTTACTTCTATATGCTTCCGGTCATTGGTAGGGGATGTGGTGAATTTGGAGACGTATGAAATAAATTAAGCTATGTTCATTCTGCTGCAGGATTCTTCTATGTAAAGAACAAAATGACTGGTTGATTTGTTTGTCAATAATCTCAAACTAGTGTGGTGAAATCTGTTTGATGTGTATTTGTCATTGTAAATTGGAGTAGTATTCTTTTCATGTATAAGATTTTCCTTGTTTGGCTAATGGGATGTACTTTTATGTAAAAATGTTTTTTTCAGAAGCAGAGAGGGATAGCGCACAAGAACAGCAGCAGCCTCTTAAACAAGTGCCATCCTCATTCCTTAATGCCCATTTGAGTATTGAATTGACCACTATGAGACTTTGTTCGGTGAAACTACGGTGTTAGTTACTCCGTAAACTTTTAATGGCAGGTTGTGTTATATGAGCGAGTTTTTGCTTAAAGTTAATTACTTTTAGTACTCTATATGTGCCTGAGAAAATAAGTGTTTAAACGCACGTTAATAAATCAAACTATATGAACCAAAATATAATCACATTTTACTTGTATATTACATTGAGCAAATTACCCTAGTCTCAAAGAATGATGTAAAGATATTGAAGAGATGAACAAAAATCACTTGGATGTAAAAGAATTAGCTAGTGCTCGTGCTTAAATATTAAATTAGGTGTAGCTCATATAAACTGTAGTACTGTACAATGTGATGTTTTAATGGCCACCCACAACAATTTGGACCAAAAAAAATTGAAATACAATTCCTTAGGAATAATCTAGAGAAGGAAAAAAAAAATATCAATACATTTTTGTTCTTGAAGTATTAGGTAGAGGTGTTCCAGAAAGGAAGTGTGAGATCATTGCAAGTCCCCTTATTGGTTGAAAGCTTGGCACTTGATGCCCTGCTCCTCTTACTGTTGCAAATGTCAAATTCCCTTCATATACTTGTGTGTATCCACCAACCTGGTCATGCAAATTTAACACGAACACGATTATTATTATTGAATATATGGCACCTTTAATATCGTGTTACTATTAATAATATACAGGTGTCTTAAGCAACTAATCTGTCATTTTAACAAGAATCATGTATTGTGTCAGTGTTGATAACGATTTAGTATTATAGAGATACATAACCCTTGGTTAAATGCGTCAATTTTTTATTTCAATCTACTATGAATAATATTCACCTCTCCCTTGATGAACCAAGGATGCCATTCAGTCTTGATTTGAAGTCCCATTTTATTCAAGGATTCCCTCGTTGATGTAACTGGTATCCTTCCATCTGTGTCACCGCTGCATTATATTCACGTATCATAAAGTTTGATTAGACCAAATTGGTGCAAAAATCATGCTCTAACAATCCATAATTAATGGCAATTATAAAAGTGAATAAACAATAGTAAATTACAAAGTAATTTGTTTCTCGTTAAATGTACCCTACTTTTGAAAAGATTGATTGATAATTGTGACCAAATTGTAAGACTTGTACTTAAAACATTCCAATGGCAGTAAGGTTGTAAGAAAAATGAATTGAGTTGATGTGATTTTGAATCTTATCTTGGCCAGAATAAGAGCAGTAAAAAGTCTTTGTTTGTTCTCTTAACCCTTGGTCCCATTTAAAAAGAAAATATGAACAAAAGTTTCTGCACTAAGAATCATGATGATCATTGTTTCACCATTTACCACTTCAAATAAGGAGTTTTAGTGGTTCAAGTTGAGTCAAGCTAGGATCGACTCGACATTACCAAATACATTGTAAGTACTTTAATAATTATATGCCGATTTCTTATTTTTTTTTTTGGATGGTTAGGAATACTATACTAATAGAAGCGCATGCTCGTGAATGCATCTAATAATAGTCTAATATTGCATTGATTTCACAAGCTCACTCTAAATATCTAGGTCATGATTCCTAAACTAAAACAAATTATTCACAAATGTTATCCATGTGCAGGTCCATTTTCTAGCAAAATTGTCACAATGATAAAAAGTAAAAAAAAGTAAATATAATGATATCATAAAAAATGATGGTTAGATCACTATAATAATTCTAATAATAAAGATTGGATTTTTACCTATAAATCCACACTCGAAGGTTCTTAGCCATTAGCTCCTTTAGAATTGGGATAACTGTTGATGGACTGTCTGCCCAATTACTAATAACCGCACTGAAAAAAATACATCATTGTAACCAATTTAAGTTAAATTGATTTATTGATTATTACTGTGTACAAACAATGCAAAATGATAACATTAATCACTTTCTAAAGCAATATCTAAATCAATGCTCAAGTCTTTCTTTTAGATCTGTATTCATAACAACAAAAAGTTATAGTGTAATTAGTTGGCTCATTAATATGTTAATAATTATGATCGTACAAAGAGGTATACATGATCTAATATTGTGATATGTAACAAATGTGTACTCGTATTATCCTGTACTTCAATATATATAGTCGTTTGTCAAAAAAAAATATAAATAGTCGATAATTATATCTGCAATTACTAAAATTACTAATACAAAAGAATTACATACCTGCAAGGTTGCCAATCATAATAAAGCTTGGTCACATTTGCATGAAGAGCCTTTTGGACTTCAGGATTATTCATGTAAGCAGTCACATAATGGTCACTACATGGATCCAATTCGTGCTGCACCCGAGAATAAACTATTAAGTTATGTTCGTGTCCTTGTATCAAAAAATTTACGAAGTAATGAAGTATTGGTCACAATTGAATCTCAAATCCCCGGAATAAATGTCACTGTAACAATTTGTTCTACACAAGGGAGGAAGTTCAGAAGTTGTAGTCATATGTCGTTTTATTGTTGACAATTTAATTGAGTTGCGTGATTAAGAATGAGATTAATGCGATGAACTTACTGTGAGTTTCTTGGGTTTGAGAGTAAGATTAGTGGAGTGGCACACAGGAGCATAGATGTTGTAAACGTCTAGGTATTGAATATCAATCTCAACTTGATCAGCAGCTGAATTGCATTCTAAACTCTGGTTGCTGGTATTTGGAGCAAAATTGCAATGCCCCATTATATCATTTCGTACTTGGTCGGATATTATAGCATGTGTCCAAAAATACTCGTACATTGCCTTCAAATCCGTCTCATCATTTATTACTGCATTTCCAATCTACATTAAAAAAAAATCAAATAAGGATTAACAAGTTCTGATAAGTAAAATCAGGTCAATATCACGTGTCCAAAAATTATAAAATTAAGGAAAAATGAATAATACAGCTAAATATAAAACACCCAAAAAATACTTGTATGAGAATACAGTTATCATATTCTAATAACTTTTATTTTGCAAAATTGAAGTAGTGGAAAACTTTTATTCCAATCTTCAGAGTACATTCCAAAAACCAATCCCAAAATTAGACATCCAAAGATGTGGCCATTAAATATTTCACATGTTATATTAGCTAAATGTCAGAGAATTTTGTTAGTGGAATTGAAAAAGGCATCTGATTTTTGTATTTAAGTCAAACACTTAATTATCATATACTCCGTATATATAAATTATAAGTAGGAAATGCAAACACATGGCCGAGCTTCAGAGCTTTTTATGTCAATTATAGAATCATTAAGGCCAAAGTCCCAATTATTGGTGATACACCATAGTCTTATCATGTCCTGTTTCTATTAGGCACCTTGTTTTTATACTCTCATTATTAAGACATACGACAACACAATCAGTCGAGCATCCCAGATTACATAAAAATCAACTTCGTTAATAAAAGATTATTGTTTATATTTAAAGTTGTAAACAATACACCTATTGTATAAAAGAACTACATACGATAGATGAAATTATATAAATTAAATGTGGTAATCGTACGTAATGATAAGTGTGCGCGAGAGAGAGTAGGAAAAAAACATACAATGATGCCCTTGAGGTTGATTTTTGAACTTTTAGGCTTGGTGTTGTGTTGAAGAATAGCATGAGCAAGCTGAGGAACATAATGTCCAGCATAACTTTCACCAGAAATGTAAAAATCTCTGCCTTTATACTCAGGAAATCTCTCAAACCAATTCAATAAAAATACATAATTATCTTCAGCTGTTTTAGTATCTCCATTTGCATCATAATCTGATGTTGTATTCGAGTACGAAAATCCAACTCCAACAGGGGATTCCAAGAACAAAACATTTGCAACTACATACACAAATTTTACGCGAATGTATTAGATTTTTCGGGTTTTTAGTGGTAAATAATCAAATTTAGAGACAAAAATTAAGATAAAATTACCATGATTCCATGCAAATTTGTTCCTATATAATGTTTTGCCATTACTTTTAACTCGGAATGGTCCTAACTCTTCCATAGCTCCATATGCCAAAGATGAACAACCAGGACCTACAAAAATTAAATTCACTTAATTAATCAATCAATGAAAACTTGATTAGTACAATCCTCTGTAATTTCACCTATAAATTAGACCATCTTACTTCTTCAATAAAGAGTTGTCACTTCATCTCAACCCTCTAACGGTTAATTACAACTCCAAATTAAATTAAGTTTTCCCATGACAATCGTCTCGTCCTTTATTTTATAAATGACATAATTGAAGAACTCAATCGTAAACCAGTTATGTACAATTTTAGGAAAAATAACAAATTTTTTTGACATCTTTATGAACGAAAGGATATGTCATTTGTCACTAATGTGTAAACTAGTTTAACACTAATAGTATACTTCCATTTTGATTGAGCACACTTGTCAACTCACAATCAAAGAATTTAATTATAAATTTGAAAATATTCATGTATTGAGGCAATTTTACATAAACTTTAATTTATATGCTAATAAAAAAAAAATATGGTCAAAGTGAGTTATTTGAACAATATAAAAGTCAAAAAGGAACAATTTAAAAAAAAATAGAGGATGAAGTAGAAAACAAGTTTTTAAAATGCAGGGAATGAATGAATTTTAGGGTTAAAATCAGTGTCATAACCATTTTGTTTTCTGAAATTTGATTCTTATTAATGTCGCTATATACAATGATTCAGAGAACGGTGGAAGCTAGAATATTTTTAATAATAATAAAATAACTAGCTAGAAACGGTGTATTTTTTTTATTAAAACATAAGGTAAGTAATAAAAAAAAATAACGGTGGAAGGAGTTGATAGTAAAATTTATGCCTCAAATAACCGTTCAAAAAATCTTACTTTTATAAAATATCCCCATAATATTTTTATTTATACTAATTGGCTGCTGGTACATTTGGTAGGGAAGATCGTATGTTTAATCCCCTGTAATAATATTTGGGAATGGACTAGAACTTAACCACCTAGAATTGAGCTTCAAATTTTAGCTCAAAGGGTGAATCGAATGGAACACCAACAAAAAAATGTATTTATTTTTTTTAAAATAATGTCCTTATTATATAAAGACAAATTATTTATAAATTTGCGCGTAGGCCATACAAATCAGTCCATGTCCTAAATCATAAGTCTAGCCTGTAATTATAAAAATGTCACTATATAATAATTCCAAGTTATTTTTGGGCTCAACATAATTCGAAAGTAGGGACCACACCAACACATGCAACGAACACATATCAATTGGCTACATAATATCAATGAAATGAAATGCTTGTAGTATAAGAGACAATTATGCTAGGAATTTAAATCAATGAGTGGTGGTTTGATTGACATCAAATTCAAAAGATATAATTTTGCTTTATATTACGCAACAACGAAGGAAATTGCCTTTCTTACTACATTCCCTAC